TAAATTTTGTTTTTCCGCTAAACTATGAAACACGTTTATAATATTTTTAGGTAAAACTGCCTCGAGTCAAACAAGAACATATATATCATCTATAAAATTATTTCCGCCATTGTTCTACAATCTGATGCGCGGATACAAAATTTTCTCACAATACTGCTCAATAGCTTTACGTTTTAGCGAAGAAAATAGAAAGATTTCTCATTGTCTCATTCTAAAATATCATTCGAAAAGTTTGAGAGCAAACCAATCCCATTCATCTTTTCTTTTTTCTAAAGTAAATTTTGAGAGTATTCGCAAAATCAAACCATAATTAGCGAATCAAAGTTAATTTGGTTGTATCATAACAGTACAATGCGAGTGGTTTCTAAAATTAACAAAGAGATCATAAATAGCTTTCACGAACTTGTTTTAACTTTCCAATTTTATCCACTATCTATACTATTAAGAGAAATTGCCTCTTATAGCCCCAAATCAAGTTTTTGATTTGGACAAAAGTTTATTGGACAAAAATAGCACCTTATTTTTGATCTTTTAAATTAATAAATAATTATAAATAGATACAAAAAATCAAAAATTCATCTTTAATATTTTTCCGCCAAAATAAAATACCGTCAAAATTGGCGGGAAAAATAAATTTTGGCGGGAAATTTCAAATTTTATTTATTTATTTATTTTAATTTAACTAATTATTCATATTTAATATTTAATTAAAGTTTATAATGCTATTTGTGAAAATTTTCAAATATACAACGTCCATTGCGTCCTGAGGAAAAAGTTGGACAAAATCATATAGGTGCAGCGAGACATCAGCTGAAGCTGAAATTGATCCATGAGAAAGACGCTGAGGACACAATGGACAAAATTATTGCGCTTCAAAAGGTCAAGAGCTCACTCGAGGCTGCTGCTAGAGGGCGTAAACTTCTCAAAACATCCATTGTAGTTAATAATGCAAAGGAGCATGTGCCTAAGTACGTTTCATTTATTTGAACCACAAACTCGATATGGCTGTAGTCCAGAAACTAATGTTTCTCTTTTGTTTTGCAGAGCTAATCATGTTGCAAGGGAGACGGCTGCTGCAACTCAAGCAGCTAGGGAGAGGAAGGTAGATGATCAGCTAAACCAGATCCTTGATAACCGTCGTCCAGGAAATTGATGAAGAAGAAGAAGGTGATATAGAACTAGAATACATAGAGTGATCCTAGCTTTGTAGAAAACATTAGAGCTTCTGTTGAAATTCTTACCTGAAAACAGCGGTTCACAACGACCGTTTTGCTTGGTCTGTCTTCTTTGCTTCGTTTATACTCTCATGATTTTGCAGGACATGATTAAAGATAATGCAACAGTTGGATGATGGCTTTAGCTTAATGATTTTAAACTAATTTTGTCAATCTCCCAAAAACCAATGGCATTTTATGTAATATTTAACCCTTTATAAGGTTATTCAATATCTAGTGACTCCCAATTAATAGTAGGGAGATTGACAAAATTTCATTCATGAAAACCTTCCTAAATTACGTGAAATCTTTCTTAAATTTTGTGGAATCCTTCCTGAATTTCTTGGATTTTTTTTTGCGGGAAAAGTCGCACGGAAATTTTTTTGGTGGGAAAATTTTGACGAATTTTTTTTTTCGGGAGCGGAAAATATTTTGCGGGAAATTTTGACGGAAATTTTTTTGGCGGGAAAATTTTTACGGGATTTTGTTTCGGTGGGAAAATATTAAAGATGAATTTGTGATTTTGTATCTATTTATAATTATTTATTAATTTAGAAAATCAAAAATTATATGCTATTTTTTTCCAATAAACTTTGAGTTCTATTCTTGTCCCAAAAACTTGATTTGGGGCTATAAGAGGCAATTTCTCTTAAAAAAAATTATCAATGGAGGATTTTAAGATTGAATTTGAAATTTCGTAAAAAAATTAAATACAGATATTTAAGATTCAGTTTTGTTATAATATTTTCACAAATTTTGAAATATAAAACAAAATTTTAATTTACAATTTCTAAAAAACGATATTAGATATTAACAAATATTGATATTTACTATGAAATAAACTCAAATAATGATAAGTTTAAAGTAATTATCATTATGGCCTTCGTTTAGAGCAAGTTTCAGAACTATCTAAACAATAGATTGTACATATTAATTTTGAAATATTTTGTGTTTTATTTTTTCTTTTTCAACCGGATCTTCCTTAAATAAACCCATAATATATTGCACACAGTTTTCGAAATAATGTTAACTAATTATATATTTTTCATTCAAAACAAATTATGCAGCAATAGCATTTCCCTTTTATAAATGTATCTTAATTTTTTTTATTTTTAGTCCAAAAAATCGAATTAATTAAGATTAAACAATGAAAAGAAAAATATACAAAATTTAGCTAAGGAAAGAAACATTTATAAATTTGTTAAAATATATTTGTAACTTTAACCGCATACATATTAATCCGCAAAACTCAAAGTATATATTGTATGATATTTAAAGGTAAGCAAATAAGAATTTGAAACATGATTTTAATGGAATGAAATAAGAATAGGAATTACGAGACGGGATGAGAGGGGAACATAAACTAAAAATCAAACTAAATACCCAATTGGTAATTAGTTTGGGTTATGAGCACTATATAAAATAAATTTGTTTACACACGTAACCCTGTACGTACATTTTCAATTACACATATTCTATTTATGATGGATACGTGACCGTAATATTTTTATTTCACGTATACGTGACAGGTCATGGGACAAAGAATTTATGACAGATACAAGACGGGATAGATTTCCCATTCCAAAATAGTTACACCTAGCTAATATACATGAAATAACCCAACCGAATCCATATCCTATTTAACATCTGTAATCAAACTGTTAGAAATGTTTTCATTAGTTTAGAAAATAAAAACGTAACATCACTTAATTTTTACAACTAAATTAGTTTGGATCTTAAAATATAATTATGTGCTAACGCAACTGAATTTCGTTCATTACTCTAACTTTATAATGTTTACACAATTACGAAATTCACTAACACAACAAAATATTTAATATTTTATATTTTTAAAATCTATATAACAATTTCTATAAAAATATCTTTGCACGTATGTGTGGATCCAGATCTAATACACTAAAATATATATCATAAAAACAACAAAATAATCTATATTGAATTAAATTTGTTAGAAATTCTTCTAAAATATGAAACTCCGCACGTACGTGCGGGTCAGGATCTAGTTTATTTTTAAATCCTATTGTTGCATCAATGTTTCATAACGTTTAGTCACAATTGTCATATTTTAACTTTTTGATCAAGTAAAAATATTTTTTATATATGATCAAATTAATATTTAATATTTTGACGTCACAATATTTTAGATTACATATCCAGTTATATTCTTGTATCTTTTGACTAAGTTAAACTAGTTTTGGTGTTCAAAGTTGTTGATCATGTTTATTTTATCAAGTTAAAATACTGATAATATTTTTTTGTTTGATATAATTAGTTCAATTAAAAAAACTGGATTAAAAATTTTGGACGTCTATGAAGTCATGCTTCCTATTTACGATTTCTTATCATCTATATATACATTTTTGGAGCACAATTAGCAAATAAATCTTGGAGTTGGGAAGTATTTACAACTTATGCCATTGGCATTTATTATTAAGTTATAAAATTTAAATAAAAGATATTAACCAAACGATATCTTGCCTAATTTGTTTCTAAAAATCTCTACACAATCTTTTCATATCTTCAAAAAAAAATTTCCTGAATTTTACTCTACAAAATATGCATAAATCCGATTTATAGCAAATATTTATATTAAAATTTTGCATAGTAATAAAAAATACCAATTTATAATAATCAAAATATTCACATAGAAAAATCATATACACATACATGAAAAAGAACTATATATATCATCATTTAAGCCGTTGCTTTATTTAAATTAAAAAAAAAAACACAAAAAGTTGAAATCATATACTTTATATGATAAATTTAAAATATATATTAGTAGTATAAAGTTAAAATCATTCAAGAAACGGTATACCACGGGTGAGATCCTAAAATTATTGGATTTTATAATAATAAAAATTTATTTTCTTGGATTTTATAACACTAATAATTTAGCTAACGGGATAATATAGATAGGTTTATATGGGATGACGGGTTTGGATCGATATTAATAAAGAACAGTTTATCATGGATGAAATCCTAAAATTAACAATCAAAATACAATTATACAATCTTAAACACAAAACAAAATATACAATATTAACAAAACAAATATAACTTGAAATTTAAAAATTTTAGTTATAAAAAAATCGACCCACGGTATACTGCGGAGTAAAATATTCAAAATTTAAAAATCTACCATACATCGTTACTTAAAAAAAGTATGTTTTCGAATCTATACTTCAAAAATTGAAACCTAAACAATAGTAATCATACACTAGATAATACATAGATAGATATCTACATTTTAAAATACAAATTAATATGATATATTTTCAGTTAATCTTTAAAAATATAACATTACATTTCTTAAAAAAATATAGCCCCGCGGTGTACCGCCGATAAAATTCTAGTTTTTATTACGTTTCTGGAGCATTATTCAGCTTTGCAGCCGATAAGCGACTTTTACGGGTTATATAATATATCTCGTTTTAATATTTGCATAGTGTGATGATTTATTTATAAAACTTTTATCAAACACATATGAAATTTGATCTAATTGGATATCAAATAATTCGTATTCAATTTGACTGGTTACTATCTATTTTTGAATTATTAAGTATAAAGTTTGGTTAGACAATGATTGAGAGAGAAATATTCTACTTATTTAAAAAAAAATTGTTAAATTATGTGGATTTGTTGAATATTATTGTATCATTACTGGATTTATTTAAACAAACTACTATGTAATGGCATTCTAAGTAATATATTTCACCTTGTATAGTCCTTTTCTTATTAATGGTTCTCAAATATATATTACCTTTTGAAGAATTATATTTAGTGTATTCAAAGATTTATAGTATAAACAGTCAAAGATTGTATACATATTATTCGATTTGTTGCCAAAAGACGATCACATTCTAATTCATTTTCCACCAAATTTGGTAGATTTGAATATGACTAATTATTGTAAATATACATTACTTAGATTTCAAAATTTGCTTATATAAGGAGCTCTAAATCTCTAGAACTACTCCTAAAACATTCAAACTAAAAAGATTCACAAGATATTAGTAATATCACTGAAATACATTTTTTTGAAACAAGAAATGGATGTTCGAAGATCTCCATACATTTTCATTGCAGTTTCTTTCATTGCAATGTTCTTGACCACAGGTACGTCAGTGTTACAAAATATCATGTTCTAGCTTCAAATTTTGGAAGAACATAATGTTCTTTGATTCTTTCTCTTCCCACCAAAAAAAAAAGGTCATTCTTGCTCATTTTTAGGATTATAAAAAAAACATATATTAATTTCAACACATATATGATAACATATGTTGGTTTTGGTTTATGATGAACATAAAATATATACAGGAGTAAGATCACAGCCGGTAAGAGATATTTGCCCAGGGGTATGCCATGCTGGAATTGAACCAGACTGCGACACACTCTGCACTAGCTTAGGCTTTACTGGAGGCTATTGTCAAGGATTAACATGTTGTTGCAACCCAAAATCCTCCAAATCCTCAATCACTCCTCCAATTTAAATTTTGTTTTGTATTACTCTTTTATCTTTCCAAATAAACGCTAATAAATCCTTAAACTTTTATATGGAACAACAAATATTTAATTGAAAGTTTATGTCTTATAGTATTTTGTTGGTACTTTTGGTAGTAAAATTGGCGTCTTTTCTCATAGAAACGGCCATTTTAAAACAATTCCAATTTTACGGGTATAAAAGTAGGAGTTTCCTATATAATATATATTTTCGTTGCATGATTTTAGAAATTAAAAACACAAATCTTAGAAGGTACGCGTGCATCTTTCCCATAACTGAAATTATTTCAAAAATCATGATCCCATGAATATGAATCTAATTTTCTTTATAACGTAAAAACCTATAACTTCTGAACGTTTTATTCATGGCTCATTTATGTAAGAATCTATTAATTAAAATACATGTTTTTGTTCATTATTCCCTGGTTTCTGTTTCTTTTATAAACTATAAAATAATTAACAATATATAAAAATCGGTGCATTTAACCTCCACGACCCATAGACGGAAACTCTAAAGCTCCTCTTTCCTACGAGCTAATGATATTGAGGTGCGGGTTTTGAACCACTTGGCGGTGTTTTTATTTCCACTGTTGGATAAATCGACGTTAGTCCTATTAAAAGAAAAACGAAAAAAGGATTGGCGAAAATCTGATGGTAAATATTGTTACTACTTACAAAGTTTGCGGATTTGGTATGGCCAAGTTGAAGATGCACAAGATGAAATCGCGAAAGAGAGAACCAAAAACAAAACAATCAACCACAAGCTTCCCTTCATTTTCTTTTTTCGATCTTAATTTGTGTATTTATATTGTATTTATATTCATGTACATGTGTATTTATATCATTTAAAATTTCATACGTGAGGTTTAGAATGAAGCAGCGTATAAACCATATATATAGTCTGACTGAGTATAACTAAGAAAAGGTCTTCGACGTAGACAAATATGGGAAAGCTTCTTCGTTGATCATTTCTATCAAAGACTTTACATATATATATATAAGACTAGTTTAAACACCAACTTAGCGTTGACCAAACAATTGACCCATAAGATTGCGTTGACCCGGCCCATTTACACACGTCGTTAAATCCGATAACAGATCCATTAACAGACGTTTACACCCGTTAACGTTTCTCTGTTAGTATCCAAAACGTGTTGTTTTATACTTCTTCGTTTTCGACGCCCCTGAATCTTCTTCGTTTTCGACGCCGTCCCGTAGCTCGACTGTTATCAACACCTCCATCTCCGCCACCTGACTCTGAAACGCCTTCCGCTGGTGGAGCTCGAACTCCATCTCTGATTACAACCTCTGATTGGCGAGCTTCTCCGGCTCCAAAACTCTCTAACTCGCCTTCCATTGGTGACCCAATCTTCGATATGACGCGGTTGTGTCTAACTAATGACATTCGTGAAATCAAAATTCAAGATCTTCGGAATCGATTTTAGGGTTTTTCGTTTTAGGGAAATTAGGGTTTATTTGTTTTGATTTTGGGGATTTATGAGATTGGGGATTTCGTTTAAGTATAAAACGACCATGTTTTGGTCACTAACAGAGAAACGTTAACGGGTGTAAACGTCTGTTAATGGATCTGTTATCGGATTTAACGACGTGTGTAAATGGGCCGGGTCAACGCAATCTTATGGGTCAATTGTTTGGTCAACGCTAAGTTGGTGTTTAAAATGGTCTTATGAGAAGTTGACTTATTGAATGACCACTTTTTGAAAGTTCGGAGATTAAACGACGTTTTTTCCTTTTTAAAATATTTAAAAATAAAATAAATTAATTAAATTATAAATTAAATATAAGATTAAAAAGGCCCAAAAAATAGTTTATAATAAAAAAAATTATTTTATCCAAATACACAATACGAAAGTTTTTATAACAAAATGTCTATAAAAATAAAATTTATAGGGCCCAAAATTTTTATTCCCATTAACCACTACAAAAAAAGAAGTGGATGGTATCACTTAAATAGTATCAGAAAACAAGTGATTTTAAATTAAATCATTTACTAATAAATGATAAAATAATGTGGGTTTCAATTATTATAATTGATGTTAAAATTGAATTGTTTAACATCTGTTCAATTAAAATGATACTCCCTCCGTTTTTGAATAGTTGTCGTTTTAACTATATGCACACAAATTAAGAAACTATTAATGTTGTTAGTTTTTCAATATAAAAATATCATTAATTATCTACCTAAACATAATTTAACCAATAGTAAATCAAGTTGCATAATAAAAATAAATATAAAAAATAAAAAGGTAATAAATTTTGCATCGAAAACTGAAAACGACAACTAATTAAAAACAAAAAATTTTCTCTAAAACGACAACTATTCGAAAACGGAGGGAGTACAAATTTATATTAGTTTGCATCACTTCAAAAATACTGATACAAAATTATGAATTTACATCAATTATTTAATTGATACATCACTTATATTAGTTTGCATCACTTATATTAGTTTGCATCACATCAAAAAAGTGATACAAAGATATTTTAATTCATATCAGTTAAATAATTGATGTATTGATCATTTTTGTTCACATCACTTAAAAATGATACAAAATTAACACTAAGTAGGATATTACCCGCGGTGTACCGTGGGTTAATTATTTGATTTTTTTTTATTTTTTTATAAACTGAGAAATTTGTTGTGTATAATATTTTTTACTGTACACCGTAGATCACATGCATTTTATCTACAAAACTAAAATTTTAAGTTGTATTTATTTTGTTTAATGTTTAAAATTGTATAATTATATTTTTATTTGTTAATTTTTAGGATTTCACCCGTGATATATTGTCCCGTATTAATATCGATCCAAACCCATACCACCATATAATCCATCATGTGAAATTAAACATCATTTTGTTATTTTTTTATTACTTTTATTTAAAAGACATATAGTTCGAGTCAATTTAAAAATGGCTTCTATAATATCTAATGTTTTTTTAATTAGTGTATGTTTTTTGACCAACCCGTGAAAACAATTTATAATTGTATCTTAAAATACGAATTAATTGTTTTGATCCGCGGTATACCGCGGGATAAATATATATGTATATATATATATATTTATTATTATAAACTTATGATATTATTGTATTAATTTTTTTATATATTTTTTGGTATAAACTTATGTTTGATTTTGGGTACACCTTCTATTTTTTTTTATAACTAAAAATTATAAATTTTGTTTCATTTTAATTTGACCGGACTAATAATGGGCTGTTTTGATGGGCTTTGAAGAATTGATGTTGTCCTTACTCCTGCCTGAGCACTCCTCCACGACAAATCTCTGATCTCGCAGCAAACCACTCCTCTTCCACCGTGATCGGAAACGAATCCCCCACTCTCTCCGTGGTCGTCGATTGTCGCTTTTTCTTGGACAACCACCGATAGCTTTAATTTTTTTGAACGATTCTAAACGAAGGAGCGAGCATCATCTTCCGTCACTAACATCTTCGAATTCAAAGATTTCCTTTTTTCTTTTTTAGTCTTTCTCTGTTATTTTGTTTTTTCACTTAGCAACCGATTGTTTTCCTTTCTTTTTTTTACTCTTTCCGGAAGCTTTGTGTAGATCCTTTCGTCTTCTCTGTATCTCTCTTATTAAGTTCTATGGGCTTCCAACTCAAAACCAATTGGCTATGAGTGGAGTGGCTCATATCCCTTATATATTACTTAGGATCCCTTCCAACTTCCGATGTGGGACATTATGTCCTAATACGCCCCCTCGAGATGATGGCTCTTTGGCCATTAATCTCAGAATGTTTGGACTTACATCGACGTCATCAATTTTGGGCCTTGTCGATGATTGGACCATCTTTGGGTCGGATCGGGTTGGACATGTGTGGATCGGGCTCTGATACCATATTAAGTTCTATGGGCTTTCAACTCAAAATCAATTGGCTATGAGTGGAGTGGCTCATATCCCTTATATATTACTTAAGATCCCTTCCAACTTCCGATGTGGGACATTATGTCCTAATATCTCTCTCTATTGAGAAAAAAAGGAAGAAAAGCTTTGAAATCTCAGAGAAGGGTTCGTCTTCAACATGGCGCTTTGATTCGATTTGATGTCTTTTGAACATATGCTTTTATTCACCGGCCTTGTAATAGCCCGCGTCTTCTTCCCCGAGCTCGCGCTTGATTTGCCGATTGACTTTGTAATCGCCAATAAAAAACGACAAAGCTGTTGAATTGAACAAAGGTATTTTAAAGACACCCCCAACAAAGGTATTTTAGTCTATTTGTTGTTTGGGTAAATAGAAATTTATGTTTGTGGGATTGTATTTTGAATAGTTTAGTCGTGTTTTGTTACCTTTTTATATTGATACTAGATCCGGACCCGGACGTACGTGCGGGTTGTTATTTTGAATTGATAGGATTGACATAAAGTTGTAATTTAAATGTATTGTTTTGTTTTATGTAATTAATAGTGAAAATATCAATCTTTAGAATAAACAATATTACACACATTTATTTTCAGTTTGATTAATTATACATTCTGCAGAAAAGTGTATTTACTAAAAGATGCAACATTTGTCATAATAAAAATGTGTTATATAATAAAATAAATAGTTTAATTATACACTTAGCATAAGATGTTTAATACTAAAGTCAAAACTTAATTCAATGGGCCATTACCTGAAACAGAAATATTTTGTTATGGGTCGCAGAAAACCATGTTGGGCCGAAAGAGATTTATATACATATTAAAGATGGGCCTACTACATATTTGACCAATTACGTGAGATTTGTTTGTATTATAATCTTCAACATCGGAATCGATGTCTGATAAAACAAAAAAAAAATTACAGATGTTATTAAAAAAAATCTTGTTGGTATCGACGATTCTTTTGCAAAATTCTCACAGATTCCATATAATTCGTCTTTGTTTATACTTTGTGGAGATGTAATTGTTAGATCGGAAAAGAGGTTTGTCTTTATTTTGTTTTAAGTGTTGTAAATCTGTCGATTTGGTTCTGAGAATGTTTTTTTTTTGTGTTTCTTCACTGTCCTGGCTTATCTATTTGGCTCCAAATCGTTGTTGAGCAATGTTCTCTATACCTTGCATAGATTCGTGTTTGAGGATAATCGATACGGCGAGATATGCACGCTTAATTGCGTGTTCGTTAAAGACCGACAAGCTTTCGCTCGGTGCTGCCGTCAGTCTCTCCGGTGGCCCCGTTGTCAAGCGGTCTCTACAGAAGAGGCAGGTTCCACTCATTAGAAAACTAATGTGGAGTTTTAGGGTTTGCTTATTTCTCTAACCCGGATGTTCTTGTTTGGAAATTCCAGATTGGTGATAAGCTTTTCAAACTATTGAAGAAATAGAAGCAGAGAAGTCTACTATTGAGACTGATGTTGTAAGTTATTTTAAAAGCTTTTGGTAGAGACCGCTTGAATCTTTATTATATCTAGATTACATAGCAACTAATACATCTCATTTCGTTTTCTTTGAAACGTTAGCTAAAGAATCATTCTGTCTCTATACAAATCCTGATTACAGATATTAATTTTATTCAATTTGGAATCTATATTTTGCGATGTTCAGTATATTTTGAAACCTGGAAATAGATCTAATTTATTTTGTTTATATAATAATTGCAGATTGTTACAGACATTCTTATGTGTTTACAAGAGAAGAGAAACCAAAGAGATAAGTTTTTAAACGATTATTATTAAACATCACAAATTTCCAAAGATAATTCACTCATAATACAAAGCTGAATGTCTGCAGGCTAATTAACATTTTTGCGAGTCTATTTCTTTTGGAGAAGTCTAATTTGATATTAGTTTGAAGCATTTGAGATCTGTAAATGTAAAAGTTCTTGAATTTTAATACGTTTTGGTGATTATCTTTAGAATTAT